TTAAAATGGTAAATTATATGGTGTGCATCCTTTATCACAAGGAAAACAAAGGAGGGAACGAAAAGGGGGCATGACTGCTTAACTTCCCTTCGCCAACTGACACATTGATTGCTTGCTGTGTTCTAAATGTGTCAATACAAATCTAGTCCAAAGTCATGTTCCGAGGTAAAGATGTAGTGATTCTTATGTATGGTTGGAAATAGCTTTTAAATACCTCAATTCCAATTTCCCCTTCCCCCTGAACTTGCTCTTAAGATGAATCTCCAGTGAGGCGGGGATCTCATGTGACCTCTATAAACAGCCAATAATCAAGGAGAGGCGAAATATGTCCGTGCACTTCTCCCAAGTCATCTGCCGGAAGTGGCTTGGTGGACATCACTCAGAGGTTGTATTTCTGCAGAAACATCTGCCTAGACATTAGGGAGCCCTCACTGTGGCTGTCTTCTAATTTATGACCCAGTGGCTTAGCAAGCCACACTCCACTCTGGGATCCTAGCTGGGAGAGCTGACTCAGGAAGGAGCCTCCCATAAACAAGCTCATTCTGAATGGATGGTACATGCTCTGTGGCAGGCGACCCCAGAAGGGGGAGGAGCCTGGGAGAAGGTGCTCAAGGTCTCCAAGCGAAGGAAGGCAGAGGACTTGTTCATCCGACAAGCAGCTAAACAGTTCTGTGAGCTACTTGGACAAATTTTGAGGTTTACTAAAGACTCTGATTTAGTGCTTGATCTGTCAGAAACTCTGACTTTTTTTTTTCCAGTGGAGGGCCTCATGCTCGAACTGTGCACAAAATACCCATCTCTATCTAACATTCTCTGAACACAGAGCATCTACAGTTACAGGGTGAGAGAGGTGTCAGGACTGGTTATGTAGGGGTGTATGTGTGTGTATTTTTTCACCAGTCACTCCACTGCTTCTTCATGGTAAAATAGAAGAGCGACTCCTTACCCTGACCTACCAGAAGGGATGGGAGCAAGATGAATGGAAACATCTCTGAACGTGGCTATGATAGTACGATGGGATGTAAGTCTCTGAAAAGTGTCTTCTGGTTCTAAAGCCATTCATGAATAAGGAGGAATAGTAACCTGAGCCATGATCTTCGTGGATGAAGCCACATTTCATGGCATAAGCACTATCACAGCCAACTTTCCTCTCTCTTTCCCTAGTAATCTCACATGGGTGCTCTTTTCTCCTGGAGCCCAGATGGGATGACTCATGCCCAGCCACCTAAATGCTAAATTCTGAGTTTTTATTAGAAATTTTAACATCATTTCCATGTACTGTACCATCAGCTCAGAGGTAGGGGCCTGCAGGGGCTTCATTGGTTCCTATTTAGACTTAACTGTGGTTTACACACACACACACACACACACACACACACACACACACACACACACACTTGAAATGACCACTTCACTCTCCAACACCTTAACCATAAACTTGGACAAAAAATGGACCCTTCTCCCACCCTCTTTGCCATCCACCCAGTGACAGTAGCCTCAGACCTCTGAAATATTCCCTTAGAAGTCTAGAATCTACATGATACATCTGTTAAGTAATATATTAAACACTCTATTCCCACTACAAAATGTACCAGTGGAAGCTATGACCCTAGGAGTCAGAAAGTGATGGGGTTGGAGGAGGGAAAGATTGATTAGAAAGAAGCACAAGGGAACTTTTATATACCTTGTTTGGGGTAGTGGTTAAATGAGTGTACACAATTGTCCAAACTTACTAATCTGAATACTTAAAATCAATACATTTTATTACATGCAAACTATACCTGATTTTTTAAAAAAGTTATAGGGCTGGCCAAGTGGCTCGTTGGTTAAGAGTTGGCTTGAGATGCCAGCTCTGAGCAGCAGAGCCCCGGTTCGGATCCCACATGAGGGCCAGTGGCACTGCACCCTCTACAGCTAAGAGGGTGAACAACAGCTCAACCTGAAGCTGGGCTGCTGTGAGTCACTGGCAATGGGCATAGACTGCAGTAGAGCTGCAGTGGGCTGCCATGAGCTACCGTGAGTGGCTGGTAGCCAGCGTGAGCGGCCAGCAGCTGGTGTTAGCTGATGTGAGTGGTCATCCAATGGCCGATGAGTGATTGCCTCACCTGGGAAGAGTGCAATGATCACAATAACAACATGGGCCAGTGAAGCTATGTCCTCCACAACTAGACTGAAGAACAAAAAGACAGCAACTTGTCTGTTCCCCTCCCCCAATTCCCCAATAAAATCTTAAAAAAAAAAGTTACAGTGGTGTTCTCCCAGTCAAAGATGGCAACCCATGGCTGTGCAGAATTGGACAGGAAGCTGGCCTTCTCCTGTCCTCCACCTTTTCCCACAGCTCTTGTCTCCCAGATCTCAGAGGCAGCCCATCACTGTCTCCTGCTCCATGAATGAGGGCTGGATATGAGAACACAGCCTTTTTCTCCAAAAGGCTGGCCAGATGTGAGGGTGAGGGCTGCCAGGGGAGCAGAGGTTTTGTAAGCGAGGTGGGTTTGTGTCCGGTGTCCCACTCCTCTCCTAAGACTTCTTTATGTGCTCAGAGCCCAGCTGTTCCCTGCTCCTTAGTCATCCTCCCCATATTCTGAGCCACAGAGGACTCAGTGGAGGTGCTCCCAGAGAAGGTTCAGAGGAGGGAAAAGTCATCAAACACCTGAAACCAAGACATCTATGGCAATGTGCCCCAGAAGCATGCATTCAACTGGGATTTCTGGGATAAGGTGAGTGTGGCAATCAGGTGTGTGACATTAGTTCAGCCTAGAGGCCACCGGTGTGGGGTTCCCTCTTCAGAGTAAGCTCAGAGAGCTCACCTGGCTCCTGGTCATCACCATAAGTGAGAACCTAGGGCCAGCAAAACCTTGAGACTCCTGGCTGATTCTTATTCTTCACCAAGGTGAAGCTACTGGTCTACACGTTGTTCACTAAAAGACTTTAGTTGCAAACCTGTCCACTGGGGAGCTATCCATCTCTGCCCTCCTGCACACGAGCATGTCTCATTTCACAGGTGATGAGATGTTAGGAGACCAGAAGTTCTATTTCCACTTTCGCCACCCTCTGGCCTAGCACTTTAAATGCCTCTGTCTCCCCATTTTTTAATTGGGCCCGGTAACGACACTGAGCACTTCTTTCAGAGAGAATTTAACGGCATTAATGAAATAATGACCACTAAGTACAGTAACTTCAATAATAAATGGTGGCTTTGGATAGGGTCCACTGCAAGGGCATGCATTTTTTTAAAAAGCTTCAGGGACATGTCATGCAGAAATCCTTCCCCTCTCTCGTGCAAACCGAACGATTTCAAGAGTGGGAGGAGGAGTTGGGAGAGTTGAAATATGAATGAGTCAGTGTTGGTTTATGATGCTCTGCTTTCTCTATTTCTATCTTTTCCCCCCTACTATTAAAACCTCTTTTCCTTGCTGCATTCTATGATGCTGAGGTTTCTGGATGAAATAACAAGCATCAATTTTTTTTCATTTTTTTAAAGGAAGAAGAAAAGAAAGATATGAAACAAAACAAAAGTGGTGCCATTTCACTCACCCAGAGGGCTCCCCAAACAGAAACAGAGAGTATTTTGTTCAGCTTGGAGGAGGGGCCCAGGGAGCTGAATTAAAGGCAAGAGAGTCAGCACCCTAGAGTTCACTGGGTGTTGGAAGGACTGAAACCCCCCTCCTCTTGGAGAAAGTGGCCAGAACCTTAAATAGTTAGGGGCCAAGTCAAGGCAACATTTGCTCTTTCCAGCAGCTACATCTCTTTAAATCCCCGTTGGGATGCTGGCTCCATGGAGACTTCGGTGATTGAAGGAAGCTCCCAACACCACTTGTTGCATGGCCCCACCCAGGCAGCTGTGGGTGAGACTGAAGTGGTGGGGGTTGGGGGCAGGCAATAGTGTCTCCAAGGCAAACCGAAGGCAGATGTAGGGAATTCATTAAACATATTTCAGAGAGGCAGGAAGCAGAGGAAATAGAGCAGTACCTTGCAAAAAGAAGTAGCAATGAGGTCTAAAGTAATGACAAACCCATTTGTGGAGTCTCTCAGTGCTGGAGGACATAGTACTGCTTCAAGCCTTCCTAGGTCAGGACCAGTCTAGGTTCACTTCTGCTTCCCCAGACATGAAGAGACCAACCTTTCGCCTGAGCTGTCTTCCGCTGGCAGAAAACAGTGCAGAACAGACATTGTCCTCTTTCCAACCACACATAGTCACGGATGACAGCCAAGTGGAGGACATTTCCTGCCTCCTTGCCAATGTAGTACAATCCACCTTGGCCAACCTCTGCAAAGCTCATGACACTTTCTACCACCATGAGGTCGGGGGACCTCAGCCCCTCAAACCACCTCATCCTGCTGTTTACCTGTTGCACCTGCCCACTCGCCACAGGTTCACACCAGGAGAGAATGTAAAAGGTCATATTGGGCTGTCTCCACAGCAAAAACCCAGAGAATCCTGGGGAAATTGACATTTTAAAAACCACCTCTTCCAACCCTTCTCAGAAGGGCATAACTTTTCACTCTACCCCCACTCTCAAGCCCCCAGACTATCTTTGCAGCACTTTCCCTCCATGGATGGCTTACTGTTGGGAAAGAGTTAAAGAAGGTGCACTCCGACTAATTCCCCAAACCCTCCCTCTCATCTACATAGAAGAACAGCCCTACACAGAGACATGCAGAAACCCACTGTCAATTCAGCTCAGACCTCACCTGTCTTATGTAACAGCATCACACACACACACACACACACACACACACACACACACACACACACACTTCTAAGGCCAGAGTCCACATCCCCCTTTAATTCGGTAGACATAGTTTTGTGCCCTTCTTTTCCCTACGCAGAAGCCGGCTCAACTGGCAGCAGAGAGGGAGAGAGAGAGATGTAACCTCAGTGCCAGACGCCTTGCAGGAACACACGGAGACACACAGGAACCAAAATGCATCTCATAGCTCTCCGTGGTGCTGAAATCACGCTAGCGAGGAAATCAAAGGAGCAAGTGCGCTGGACTCACCGGGCTCGGGGTGGGCGGCAGGGGAGTAAGAGGAGCTTCCTGCGAAGAGAATTCTTGCCTGTGCGGGCTGGAGCCAGCTGATACGCTCACCTAGAGAACCCACCTCTCTCTCCCTTCTCTTCCTCCTTTTCTGGGAGGAAGAGAGGAGGCTCCACGAAAGAAATGAAACCCAAGCTGGCTAGAGTGGAAAGAGAAAGAGGAGGCAACCAAAATAAGATCAGAAAGTCTGGCGGCTTTACTCCACTAGTGGTAATTCCTTGGGTCAGGAGGACCCCCTTCTCCCACTCTCTGTGTCTGCACCTTTCTCCGTCTCTGCGTGTTGAGCCAACAGCCTTAGCACAGTCGGTTCCTACCTCTGACGTGAAGGAGACGAGAAAGCCTGGGACTGCTGTGTTGTCTCCCTCCCTCTCCCTCTCTCGCTCTCTCTCTCACGCGCTCTCTCTTTTCCCCTCTTGCTGAAATTTCAGCAGCATGATTTTTTTTTAAGCCTCCGTTTTTTCCATCCCCCTACAAGCGGCCACCTAGTGGACAGAAAATGAACAGTCCAGATTCAGATACAGGAACACTCAGGGTACCCACAAATTCTCGGGGCTGCTTCCATTCAGACAGCGTCCTGTACAGCCAGATTCTTCCCTCTGGCTAACCCCGGTAGGAAGACAGAGCGAGGCGGAGGCAAAGAGACAGGGCAGGCGCTTTTGCAGATCCTCCACCCACAGCTGCAAAAGTAAAGGGTAGGATAGGGTGAGAGGAGTGATTGTGGAGACAGTGTTTTGAAACATCCTGGTGCGAGGGTTCCAAGTGAGTTAAGGTCCTAGCTGAGCAGAAAGGCAGCCTCCAAAGCATCAGGGTTTGCAGCCGGGTGAGCTAGATCCATACCCAGGACAACCCAGGAAGGGAGTTCTTAAGGAGTCAGTTCTTAAGGAGCGCCAAGGAGACAGTACCTAGTCAGCACCTCATCTAGCACCCTATTATGGCTTAAAAAAAAACTAGTAAGAAAAATCTCTGGGAAGCCACAGCCTGAGATCATCTCGGAGATGGAGAGAGAAGTGGCCTTGTTGAGCATCCATGGAGAACCGTGGCAGAGCAGGGCCACCCAGGGGCCACTGGTCACGCGCTCCTAAGGGATGTCTCACACCCTGTTTTAAATGTACAGTCTCACAGCGTCCTGGAAAGCATCCTCATACTCACATCTACAACGTTGCGTTCTAATGTCAGGCTGCCACTCGCTTCCTGGACATTTTGCTTCTTTATGGCTCAGTTGCACTGTCTGTAAAATGTGGATAATGCTGCCCCCTCCCTACTGAGTGGGAATGCTGAGGGATGGGAATGGCAGAGGGAAGACACAGAACCTCAGAGTTGGCAGGGAATTCAAAAGTGATCATAGCAAACATTATACTTACATTTGCTTCACCCTCAGCAAAACAACAACTAGCATTTTTTAAAAAAATTGGGGAGTTGGGGGGATGGGAACAGCGCTGGGGAATTGGGGGAAGGGGAACAGATAAGTTGCTGTCGTTTTGTTCTTCAGTCTAGTTGTGGAGGACGTTGCTTCACTGGCCCAAGTTGGCACCATCATTGCGCTCTTCCCAAGTTGGCACCATCATTGCGCTCTTCCCAGGTGAGGCAGATCAGTCGCTGGCCTCTGGACGGCTGCTCACTGCGGCTGCTGGCCACTCACGCTGGCTGCTGGCCGCTCACGCTGGCTGCTGGCTACATATGGTAGCCCATGGCAACCCACTGCCACAGGGACTGCAGCCTACACCATCGCTGGCAACTCATGGCAGCCCAGCTCCAGGTTGAGCTGTTGTTCAGCATCTTAGCTGTAGAGGGCAGGGTCACTGGCCCTCATATGTGGGATCTGAACCAGGGCCCTCTGGTGTCCCAAGCCAGTTCTTAACCATCGTGCCACTCGGCCGGCCCAACAACTAGCATTTTTATAGAGTATTTAGCAGGTGTCAGGCACTGTCATAAGCCCTTATATGTAAGGGCTCATTTAGTACATACAATAACCCTATAGTGTAGATGCTACTATTGCTGTTTTATAGACCAGGAAACTGAAGCACTGAAGTGGGGATGAAATGATTTGCACAAGATCACACAGCTTGTGAATAGCAGGGATGGGGTTGAAACACAGGCCATCTGACCCTCGAGCGTCCATGATGAACCACTAATAGACAATAAATGGACACTTCAGAAGTGACCGCAACTGAAATAAATAGAAGACAGCACCATAACTATTATTTTTGCTTATGACAAAGTATCTAGGTTATAATAAATTTATATATGGCTGAGTTTTTAAAATAAATTATTTACAACTATGAGTACCAAACTGTGGAAATTGCTATTACTGATGAAAAAAAAAGCAAATTCTCTTGGTGATTTGGGTAGTTTCACATACACAAAACTGGCTATAAATCTCATGAAGTTGGAAACTATTGGGCTTTAACATCAGTTCAAAGACACGTCACTCGATTTCTATACCAAAAGCAGATTGTCGCCTAGTGCCTAATAGTACAAGGATGGGGCCAGCAATTCCATGAGCTGAATTGTTGCAAACTGTACTCAGTTAGCTGCTGACATTTTGTTCAGAATTGCAGAATTATGAATTCCTTACCTAATGTGGCTTACTTTTTCTGACTTTCTTTGGATCAAAAGCGAATGGAACAGAACAAAGATGGAATGTGACAGTTAACAAATCATGACCCCTGACTCATGGAGTTTCCAGTTCCTTCAAGGTGAAAGGAGTGGCAAGAAAGACCACTCAGATCAGGGGGTAAGTGCTGGGATATGGGCACATGCAGTGTAATAAATGAGCACATAGAAAAGACAGCCGGCCTGATGACCTTGGAGGGCAGGGGGACTTCCTGAAGAGTGTGTCATCTAAGCTGAGGCAGCAAGGAGTGGGGGAGAGAGTGAAGCAGACAGCACAGCGTGTGCATACCTGGAGGTGAGAGAGCATGGTGTAAGACTTCCAAGGTAAGCAGCGCCTTTCTATTTATAAATGGGGAAACTGAGGCTCAGAAAAGTGAAGTGGCTCTATCAAGGTCACACACCTAGGAAGTGTAGAGCCAAGATCAAATGTTTATCTATTTGACTCCAAAATCACCCCCTTTGTGAAGCACCAGGTTGTCTCCTGTCATCATACACAATGTCATGGGGTGGTTCAATAAAAGGCACACAGCAACTGAGTACTGAGGCAGCAACGACAAGGAGGCTGGAAGTGTGATCCTTCAGTATTAGATGAGGACACGCGAAGGCACCAGTCAATACAAAAAAGGAGACATTCAAAATGGCAGGATTGTTTCTGGTGGATGTGAAATTACTAAATGTGTTGAAAAGAAGGAATATTTCAGAGGTCCGAAGACCCTAGAGACTTATATTTGAAACGGTGGGGGGGAGGAGGATGCAAAAAAGTCTAAAAGAGATTCTGATTAAGTGCTAAGTAAGCCCAGAGGAAGGAGAGTTCCTTTTGCCTGGGAGGAATCAGGGGAGACTCCACATGGGAAGTCTTCACCTGGGTTTTCATCTGGACCTTAAAGAATGGGGATTCAGGAGACAGAGCTTAGCCAAACCATGCTGTGCTCCATGACACTCCAGCACTTCATACATAGAAAACAGGCGATCTGAGTTGTCATGAGAATAGGGGGCGTAGGGAGAAGAGAATAAAAGATCATTGTAGGCAGAAGCATGTCAAACTGGAAAGTGAACAGGTTTGGAAGGGGTGGAGGGGAAGTGAGGTGGATGGATGAATTTGGCTTTGGACACGTCAAATTTGGGGAGGGTGTAAGTATATATCATACTAGAGAGGCCTAGGCAGTGGCTGGAGTAAGTCTCTGGAGCTCAGATCAAAGACCGGGGGTCAGTGATGTAGATGTGGAACCATTTGCATGGGCATGATAGTTGCTGGAGAGCAATGTAAGAAGACTGAGGACTGAATGAATCCCAACTCTATTTCCTTGGTCCCCAGATCAAGTGTTATGCTTCTTCTCTAGTTCTTGCAGCTAAAGTCTTGATATTCAGTAGGTAGCCACACAATGCTTGTTGATTGGCTCATGTTAGTTGAAAATGATACTGGGGCTGAGATCGGTTGTTGGTTTCGCAGCTTCCGATCTAGCAGCGGTTCTCAACCTGTGGGTCGCGACCCCTTTGGGGGTTGAACGACCCTTTCACAGGTGTCGCCTAAGACCATCGGAAAACAAAAAGATATTTACATTACGATTCATAATGGTAGCAAAATTACAGTTATAGAGTAGTGACGAAAATAATTTTATGTTTGGGGGGTCACCACAACATGAGGAACTGTAATAAGGGGTCGCGGCATTAGGGAGGTTGAGAACCGCTGCTCTACGGGATATAGCCCTTGTCACGGTCTCCTCCTTGGAAGCTGGCACTCATTGGCCCCTGGTTTTGCTAAGGAGCCTGGGAAAATGCAAATTCCTTTTAGGGGTATGCCTTCAGCATAGGTGAGGAGCACCTCACTGGGAGCCTCAGGACAGATGGTGCTTAGAGCATGGGAGGAGTGGGGGATGGGTAAACATGCCATTGGGGGTACAGGGAAGAAGGGTAAACACTTCCTTCTTTGTCAGTCTGCTAGGACAAGTACGAGGCCTCAGTCCTTTTCTTGAGGAGTGCAGAGAGAAGGCCCAGTGAAACAAAAGGCAGCCATTGCTGTGTGGGCGTAGAAGACTGTAGAACACAGGAGGCGTGGAGTGGACCTACCCCAGAGCACACATTTGTTCTAAAGCCCGTGTTGTTACCTGTGCTTTTCCAGGTAGAGAGCTGCTGAGCCCAGGACCTGTTACCATTGGCATCACGGGGCTCTGCTGCCCTGCTTGGTGAGTGCCCACCTAGTGGAGAATGGCAATCCCAGGGATCCTAACGATTCTGTTCTTCCCACGCCTGCCAGGCCCCCAGCATCCCCAGCCTGGAACGTGTCCTCCAAATACCTCTCCATCTCTTGGCTCCTGTCTGGGCACAGCTGGCTCAGAGGGCTGTGAGCAGAGTCCTCTTCTTCTGAGAGGCTGCAGCCCTGAGCCTGTGGAAGATTTGGGCGCACAGGGTGACCAGGCAGCTGCAGCCTGCCTGGGGTGCCAGCCCCTGAGTGATGGAACGCTAGCCAGGGAGGGATGTGGCTGGGCCCCTGGCTCCCCAGCCTGTCAGCCAGCTGGCAGGAATCATTATCTCTACCCCAGAGCAGGCCAGGCTTCCCACACTAAATTAGCAAGAGCAACGCTGACTTCAGTGCAGCAAAGGATGAGGTGGGAGTCAGCCTCTTTCCCCTTCCCTACAGACAAAGGCATATTTGGGGGCTCGGGGTAGGTGCCTTTCCTGCTCCAGGAACACACCATGGCCGGGCAGCCCAGGGTCAGAGCTACCCCCACCCCTCCCTCTCTCTCCACTGTCTTCACTTCCTCCCCACCACCCCCAGCTGCCCTGGGCGTGGATTGCCTTCCTCACAAACTTCTTACTCTCATTTGTTCTTGGAGCCCTAGTGTTCATGTCCTTTGGTCTCTGAAGAGGC